CCAATTCAATTCAATATTCAAGAACTACTTTTAATTTGACCTGTACGAATCCAAACTCTATTAAGAATTGGCCAAACATGATTACACAAAACTAACACAATTGTTTGAATGCATTCCAATCCACAAACATAATTACTTAAAAATAATAATAAGATACCAATATCAATTGAGAAGCAATTCTAGAGCAATTAGCAATGCCAAAAATAATTCAAGGAAAAAAATATAAGCTTATCTAAGTGAAAGAAACTGAAAATGAGACCTTAGGGTTTAAAATTGAATGAAACTCCAGCTGCTGCCATTTTTTTACAATCCTGCGGCTACTGCTATTTTCTAAACTCCAGCTGCTGTTTTTTTTCTTCCACCTGAGGCTTGCTCTCCAGAATTTACTGCAGCTTTGGACTCCTGCGTTTTTGCTCTCTCAATCAGCCCTTTGTTTTTTTTTTGTTTTTTTCTTCTTCTTGGGAAATCTTTCCCAATTCTTGCTGCCAAGTATTGCTACTCCAGAAGAAAGAAAAGGAAATTTGTCCTGCTTTTGATTGAACCTGCTGCTGCCCGTAAGAAAGAATAGAAGAATCTGCCCTTCTCCAACTCAGCGTCTGAAAATGATGCGCTAATCTCCTCTTTATCTTGAGGGTGGTGTGGCTGGAAAAGGTGGTGATGAGTGATTCTTCTTCTTCCTATTTAAAAGCTAATCAGGGAGATTATTTTGATCTCTTCCGCAGCCGTTTCGCCCATTCCTCCGCTTCAAATCGTTTTCTTCCTGAAAATCCTCTGCGTATCCTTATCAGTTTTGCTGTCGTTTCTTCTTCTTCTTTTCTTTTGAGAATGTATGATTTAATTAATTAAAACAACAAGTTAAACGACTAATATGAGATTTAATTCATGATAAAACTAAGAATTTCCCGCTTGTTAGTGACAAAAGAAAATTATTTATGTGTAAAATTGGGCCTAAAGCATGATTGAAATCTTGTCATGTTTGAGACTTATCATAAAATAAAAAGAAAAATAAATTGCTTTTCCCCGGCAACGGCGCCAAATTTGACGAGCACTTCGTCGTAGTGCGTCAAAATAATATTCCCTACTAGCACTTATACGTAGTATAGTGATGTAGAGTTCGTATCAACAAGTGGAAAGTAGCAAGGTCAAGTCCATTTTATTCTTGAATTAAATCTTATATTAGTCGTTTAACTTGTTGTTTTAATTAATTAAATCATACAATCTCAAAACCCCCTTTTTTTCAAGAAAACAAATTTAATTATCATTAATTAAATCATTGTGCAATACATGAGTAATAAAATTAGGAGGAACATCAATCCAAGAACGACAATCAGACGTAGAACACGCAGCTTGAGCGAGCTCATGAGCTACCATGTTCGCAGATCGTCTAACATGACCAAAGGAAACGTTCAACATCCTTGAGCTAATATCACGTATGTCTTCCGCTACCATGCCTGCTGCATCAACACTCGAACCGCTTTGAATCTCCGCCACTGCTCTTAAAGCATCCGATTCCACATCAATAAAATCCCACCCTTTCTCCTTTGTCCAACTGAGTGCCTCCCTAATGCCAATCAATTCAGCTTCCCAGGGCGATAGAACCCCCTGCCACGCCTTTGTTGCAGCCGCTAGGAACTCTCCATTTTCATTCCGAAGAACCCAGCCCCACCCACACATATGAGAACGAACAGCGGCATCAATGTTCAGCTTTACCCGCCTTGCATTTGGTCTGCTCCAGCTTGTCCGTGCCTTCCTCCTGCTGCCTTCACGTGAACCAGCTGCAATTTGAACATTTTCCCATCATGTAACAAAAATTTTAGTTTTTAACAAAATATATTTTGGATCCCTCCGAACCCCATTCCATACTCTATTATTTCTTTCACCCCACAGCCCCTAGAACCCCCAAACCATCTTGTGCAATTCCTTCTCCGTTCGTGTCTGGAATTCTGCCTTCACCACCCCCAAGAGATCATCGTCTGAGCAGCTCGCCCAAGCCCAGCCAATCTCCTTCCATGCCTCTTTTGAAATCGGGCACTTGACAAAAAGATGGCTCGACGACTCTACTTCCTCTCCACACAGCCCATATTCCATGACACAGTCCACCCCTCGGGACCTCAAATTCACCCTCGTCGGCAATAGCCCGCAGCAGAGCTGCCAAAAGAAAAGTTTAATCTTTGGAGGCAACTTCCACCTCCAAACAAAAGTCCAACCAAGCCAACTCGGAGAGTTAAACTCTCCAACCAACTGCCAGTAACAGCTACGAAGAGAGAAATGTCCGTTTGATTCCCATCTCCAGCAAATTTTATCCGGAATAGACCGATAACTAATAGGAATGCTTTGAATTAATTGAACATCCCTGGACTCGAATAAATCACTAAGAATATCCCTGTCCCACTCTTTCCCTGATTCGCACAAGAGATTCCTAACACACGCCTCCTGAAGACCTTCAACCGGGGATGTAATAACCATTGGCTGATTCGGGTCAGGTAACCACGGGTCAATCCAAATATTAATATCACTCCCACGGCCTACTCTCCAGAAATAGCTCTTTTTTATAATATTCTGAGTTTGAAAAATACTTTGCCACACGAAAGAGGGGTTGTGACCAATTTTAGCAGTCAAGAAATTCCCACCAGGGTAATACCGGGACTTGAACACCTTCGCCACAAGGGACTCGGGATTAGTAAAGATCCTCCACGCTTGTTTAGCTAACAATTGATAAGTTAAACTTACGGATTTTTTTAAAGCCCATACCCCCAACTTTCTTTGGTTTACACAAAAAATCCCAGTTCCTCCATCTAATCCCCTTCCCTGATTTTCCACTCCACCAAAACCCATTCATTAGGACTTCAATTTCCCGACATAAATCCTTAGGCAAAAGAAAAACGTTCATTGCAAAGGTCGGCATAGCCTGGATTACCGATTTCAATAAAATCTCTCTTCCAGCCCTGGATAAAAAAAGATTATTCCAGTTCTGAATACGACTAACCATTCGATGTCTCAAGTAAGATAAAATAGACTTCTTATTTCTTCCCACCAGAGCCGGCAACCCCAAATACCTCTCATCATTGCCTGCTAAACCCACCCCCAGTAAATCAACCAATCCTTCTCTACATTCAGCAGACACGTTGGAACTAAAAAAGATTTTTGATTTATTAAGATTAACCACCTGTCCAGAAGCTAACTCATAGTCGTGCAACATCTCTTTCACAAGAGATGCTTCCCCGTGCGTTGCTCTAAAAAATAACAGACTGTCATCTGCAAAAAGTAGATGAGATATCCTCGGAGCCCCCCGAGCAACCGCAACACCATGCAGACGGCCTGCGGATTCGTGCCCTTTCAAAAGAGCACTCAACCCTTCCGCCACTAGAAGGAATAAATAGGGTGATAACGGATCACTCTGCCTTAACCCCCTAGTGGGTAAAATAGGCCCTAACTCCATCTCATCAAAAGGGATAGAGTAAGAAACAGATCGCACACACTCCGACACCATATTTACCCATCTTTCAGCAAACCCAATTTGTCTCATCATTCCTTCTAAAAAAGACCACTCTACCCTATCATAAGCCTTACTCATATCCAGTTTAAGACTTACAAACCCCGTGTTACCCTGAGATTTCCGGTGCAAAAAATGTTGTGATTCGAAAGCGAGCATAATTTTATCAACAATAGACCTACCCGGAATGAACGCACTCTGGTTCTTAGAAATACATAAATGAAGCAAGGGCTTCAGTCTGTTAGCTAACATTTTCGAAAAAATCTTATACACAACATTGCACAAAGAAATAGGTCTCCAATCATTCAAAGACTCGGGGCAATCCTTTTTTGGAATTAATACAATATTTGTATGATTAATGTTGCTTGGTAGTTTACCTGATTCGAAAGCCTCTGCACAGAACTTAATAACATCAGGTCCCACCACATCCCAATAATGCTGGAAAAACCCCGGACTCATGCCATCCGGCCTAGGAGCTTTATCAGGGTACATAGCAAACACCGCTGCTCTAACCTCCTCTCCTCGAATAGGTCGTAGCAGCTCCACATTATGATGGTCACTAATTTTACGGTGAACAAAATGAAATACATAATCACCGCTACTCTGCACAGAAGAAAACAAATTAGCAAAATAGTCCCCAATCATCCTGCCAATCTCTGATCTCTCCCTCTCCCAACCCCCTCCTTCCACCCGAATCCCCTCAATCCTATTCTTCCTCCTACGCTGTTTCACTGAGTTATGAAAAAATCGAGTATTCAGATCCCACTCTTTGAACCAAAATTCTTTTGCCCTCTGACGCCAAAAAATGTTCTCCTGCTCAAGAAGATCAAGATATTCGCCTTTAGCTCTCTGAAACGCCGCCAGGCTCCTCTCATCGGTCTTTCTCCTCAGGAACTCTAACCTCCTCCTACAAAAGCCAATTCTCTTGCCAAGAGACCCATTCTTCCTCTTTCCCCACTCCCCCAAAGTTTTTCCACACACCTCAATCCGCCCGACAATCCCCCTTTGAGATCCCAGCCTCCAGCTTCTAGCAACCAAATTCCTACAATCCTCATCCCGAAGTCAAAGATTCTCAAATTTAAACTTACTCCGCCTATGATATTGTTGAGAAGGAAAAAGCCTGATGAATAATGCTAAATGATCACTAGGCACCCCCTCCACCGATTCTGCTACTGCCTCCCCGAAAATGTCCAGCCACTCTTCAGAAACGATAATTCTATCCAGTTTTTCCTCCACCCAAGCCGGGGACCTGTGGATCAAAACCCCCTTTTCATTACTAGTTAATTGAAAAGAAAGTTATTCCTTTCCCTGTGGATATGAATTCTACTTCACTATACTACGTATAAGTGCTAGTATCGAATATTATTTTGACGCACTACGACAAAGTGCTTGTCAAACTTTCCTTATATAGGTTCAAATTAATTACCTCCATTTTAAAATTGTTTCAACATTAAAAATTTTACACTATTCAAATTCTCTACTTTTACTACATTTTATTTACTAATGCAATAAGAATTTAATATTGAAAAAATGTAATTAAATTCCTTAAATTGGGTTTTGTCCATAAATAATACAAAAATAAATGATATGGACAAATATAGGACCACTTTTAAAAAGTTTCAAAAATGAGCCTAAACTACTACTATTGAGCATAACTAATTTCTCCAGTGACTAATCTGCTCAGTGACCAATCCAACCAATGACCAAACTAACAAATCACCATGAACAATTCACCCAGTGACCATGAACAACCCGAACAATGACCAAATCGACAAGTGACCAACCTGACCAATGATCGTGATCAATCCGACCAGTGACCAACTCAACCAACGAGTGTGATTAATCCGACCAGTGATCAATTCGGCAAGTCACCAACTTGACTAACGCCCGTGACCGATCCAATGAGTGACCAATCCGAACAGTTACCATGTCCGATTCAACCAATGACTAATCATTGAACAACGCAACCCCCAACTACCGCCCTCGACCAACGCCCAACCACAGCCGCCGCGAACTGCCCAGCCCCCACGTTATTGAGATATTTAATAATATGTATAGTTATGATACACAGGAGCTAATAATCTATTATTATTATTATACTATTATTATTATAAGACATTTAATATGTAAGTTGGCATGGGCCATGCATATTCCCTCTCCTGCACAAGTTGGGTGGCTATACTCCTTGTAATATATATAGATGTGTAAGCCTCGTAATAATATAGATGAGCAGAGTGATTCTTCTCTGAATATCCTTTTCCCAAATACTACATGTATTTAATAATGTAGTATCAATCTTATCATGGTATCAGAGCCGAAATCCTGGAAACAAAATTCCTAATCTATATTCTTTTCTACTGTTCTAGTAAATATGGCATATAAATTGCCAGATGCTCGTCATTGGATAATTGACTCCGGAGCTACTGAACACATCACTTGTAGTGATGTTAATCTTTTTGATATCACATATCACACGCCAGTACCATCAGTTAGAATTCCCAACGGCGAATCAATTCCAGTTCATTCCGTTGGTAGTTTACACTTACCAAATGGGATTCATCTTCGGCGTGTCCTCTACATCCCAAAGTTTCAGTGCAACTTACTTTCAGCCAGTCGCCTAACAAGCGATTTAAATTGCACGTTGACATTTTTTTCAAACTTCTGTATTTTGCAGGATTTACCAACGAAGAAGCTGATTGGTGTTGGTAGATTTTGTGATGGTCTCTACTATCTGGATTCTCCGAGGGGTGAGGGGGGTGGTAATGTCAGTCTCAACTACCTCTGATTTGTGGCATCAACGCTTGGGACATGCGTCTGATGGAAAGTTACACCATATTAATTCTCTCAAAGGTTTCCAACGAAGTAATCACTTTTGTGATCCCTGCATCCGCGCTAAACAGACTAGACTGTCATTTCCTACAAGTGCCATTAAGACAACTCGCTGTTTTGAATTGATACATTGTGATATTTGGGGAGGCTATAGATGCGATTCAACTTCTGGTGCACGGTACTTTCTATCAATTGTTGATGATTTTACTAGAGGTGTATGGGTTTATTTAATGAAAAATAAATCTGAGGTTCCCCAGCTTTTGATTCAATTTTGCAACATGGTTAATACTCAATTTGAGCAAAAGGTCAAATGCATACGGGCTGATAATGGTCTAGAATTTCAAACCAACCATTTATTAGATTTTTATGGGAAAAATGGTATATTACTTGAGACGTCATGCACAGACACTCCACAACAAAATGGAGTTGTGGAACGTAAGCATAGACACATATTGGAAATCGCAAGGGCACTACGGTTCCAGTCTGGGTTGCCTATTAATTTCTGGGGAGAATGTATTTTGACTGCTGTTTACATTATTAATAGGCTTCCCTCACCAGTTATTTTTAATAAAAGCCCTTATGAAATGTTGCTTGGAAAAATGCCCAATTATGATCATTTGCGGGTATTTGGGTGTTTGGTATATGCACATGACAATAAACGAAAAGATAAATTCGGTGAAAGAGGGAGTCCTTGTATTTTTCTTGGGTACCCAAATGGTCAGAAAGCTTATCGAGTATTCGATTTAGAAAAACGTAGTGTTTATAGCTCACGGGATGTCACCTTTTATCTTTTATGAAGAGAAATTCCCATTTAAAATAATCCTTGATCCAGAACTTGAATTTTCAGCAATTCTAGACAAAGTTTATTATAATATTTTGAGCTATGAACATCCTACTGTGCAAGACCGAAGTTCCATACCAGATGCTCGTCCAATAATTACTTGTGGGCAGCCTCCATTTGGTCAACCTAATCGCAGTTACAGTACCCCAATTACAGCGGATAGTGACCCTGAGCCGGCTGCTTCTAGGCCACCTATTTTGGATGGATACTCCACAACCGAGCCAATTTTTCTTCCGGATTCAACAATTGCTGCACATGAAAGGAACCCACCTGCACATGATGGCAGCAATTCCACACTGCCCATACAACACCAACCATGTACTCTACATGATGCAAT